AAAAAAGTAAATAAAAGTAATTAGAAATCTGTTCTAGTTCTAGCCACACCGGATACCCCTAGCTTGTCTAGCCTTAACATTCAAAAGTTGATTAATATAAAAAATAAACTGCCTCGGTCTGTTTATCATGCATTGCTAATGAGATCACATCAGTTTGCGGAATTTCCAAACTAGAGACACTCACAAACGTGCACAGGTAAAAGGAATAACGTCAAGTTTGTTTACTACATGTTAAATATTCGCTACAACAACTTCAACTTCAACACAGACATCGAATAAGTCACACATCCATGTTATCAGAATCAAACACGCTCTATCTTGTGTGACAGAGACCTACAAAGATATTTTTTCCTCTTTAAAAGACAGAAAGGCTCATGAAATCCCCTCCTAGCACTTACATGTTGGGACAGTTTGAACACGCCCACTCCCTAGCTCAAGTCAGATAAAAAGAAAGACAATTTCAGCAGACAACACCACAGCTCTTAGTTGCAAGTTATTTGCTGATCAAATCGGAACCTTTCAGGTGAGATATTTGTTTTCTCTCTCTACATTTAAGAGGTTTGAAGGTTTTAGAAAAATCCCTTACCATCAACACGTTCGGCAGAAAATAAAATTTCTACTTCTACTATTACTAAGGTTGAAAGAAAAAAAGGTACCGTTGTATACTTTTAGGAAAGATTCCTCTCTCTACTTTTTACAAGTTTGACGGATGAAGAGATTTCTCTCGCTACTATTCACCGATTTGAAGGAAGAATAAATTTCTCAATTATTATCAAGTTTTATTAAAGATGAAATTGATATACTATGAACAGATTTACGTCCACTACTTCAGAATGATCAATTTGAGTCTAGAAGGGTTGGAAACCTCTTACAATATTGTATTATTGGCAGATTGATACTCTTTCTGGTATTCTGGTCTCATGTCTAGTGGTGAGACTGCGCACTCCTAACCGTAAGTGCTTCCCTTAAAGCCACGTTGAGACATGATAGAAAGAATACAACCCATGGTATATTTTCATTTCTGTATCTGGTGGTCAAACATGGCATGTGTCATGATGCGCAGGAATCAAGTGCTCATCAATTTTTTGGGCATGTCGAGTTATTGGTGTAATCTCAAAGCTTGTTATTTCTCAGGGCTTTCAATGAAAAAAATACCAATCCATCTTCAATAGAAGTGGAGATGTTTGCAATGAAAGGGGGTGGAGGTCGCTTGGTTGCAGAAATAAAATTAACTGGAAAATGGCCGCCAAAGTTTGGTGACTTCCAAAGCTTGAGAGTCTTTAAAAAACTGCTGATTTACCACTTTGCATGCCTTTGAACAACGTTTTCCAGCAAAATCTACACAGATATTTTTTAATGGGCACTAAAGGTGTTCAGCCCCCCCCCCCCCCAAAAAAATCAATAAAAGAAAATGTTCAGGGAGGGGGGAGGGATGCAATAATTTCATTGTATTGACGAGCGACTTATTTCACCTCGATGTCTCGTATGTGCTTCTATTGTAAGCAAATTTTAATTTCACATTATCCGTCACTAGGATTAGAACCGTTTGTACTTACTAATTGTTTCCAGAGTTCAGCTCAACACCAATCAATCAAGATGAACAACACCGTCATTGTCGTTCTCGTCGTCCTGGCTCTGATCGCCGCTGCCAGTGCTATGTCATTCTCCAGCTGTAACAGCAAGTTCAACGACTGGTACAGCGACTGTAAGAGCCGTTATGGTCAACAAAAATGTGACGTAGCCATGGGAGGCTTCTCTGTATCTTGCTATTACAGCTAAGTCCTTCATGTGTCATGTCACCTGAACACACTACCAGCCGTGGACTTCTGAATAATAAATCTACTGCACGAGATCTTTGCATTTGCGTTGTCTGTGTGTGTGTGTGTGTGTGTGTGTGTGTGTTTGTGTGTGTGTGTGTGTGTGTGTGAGAGAGAGTGTGTGTGTGTGTGTGTGCGTGTGTATGTGCGTACGTGTGTATGTGTTGGTGTGTGTGTGTGTTGGTGTAGACTATAAAGTATGTTTGTGTGTGTGTTTATTTTGTGTGTGTGGGGGGGGGGGGGAACGTTTTTGTTTGCTTTGTTTTTGTTTGTTCGTTTAGTTGTTCTTTTTCAAAATTTCTACTGGGGGGTTTCCTTCACAATGATACAATTGCAGACAAAAATATCCGACCGTCATCTTTATGATAAGTCTTATTTGAGTGGCTCACTTTTATGCTATAGCTTCACCACTTTGTTAACTTGGTATAATGCGTTACGACACGGTGGAATCAGGCTCTCATCAGTCTTGGGGAATAATATAAGGATTTATTGGTATCATCTTAAAGCGTGTTCATTTGTCCTGCTTTTGATGAAAAAATACCCACCTATCTTGAATAGCAGTCGAGATATTTACGATTGAAAGAGCTGGAAGTCGCCTGGTGTCCGAGGTAACTGTAGCGAGACAAAAAAAAGGCCGCATAAAGTTTGGTAAATTTCAATGCCCGTAGTGTGTGCTTGAAAAGTG